AAATGAACACTGGTGTATGCTGGAGGAGCAGGGAAAACAGGCAAGTTGGAGGTTACTGGTTTTCAGGAGCTGTTTTGTGGGAGATCTGGATGTGCCTGGCTTGATCATCTCTTATCACACCTTTTCCTTCTCCAGTTGCTGCATGGCCTGAATTCCTCACACTGTGGACGATGGGGGTAGATAAACAGGAGGCAGAAGGGGGTTAAATGTGTGGTTTCAGGGCTGGGAGCTGAGGTGGAGGCGCTGCTGGGGCTCAGGCAGGGACAGGTGCCTGGGCCTCCTCCCAGTCTTTCCCATTGGCAATGTCCCTGGAAAACAGGATTGGCCGCACTTGTGGAGGATGAAGTGGGGTCTGGTGGTAGAAGAGGTTTCAGTTCTGGAGCTGCAGCACTTGTTCAGAACAGGACTCAGTGTGTCCCTCCCAGCACTGCCCCTGCCAGGCTGTTGTGGAGGGGCTGGCCCTGGGGACTGTGTGTGCAGAGGTTTTCCAGCTGGGTGGAAGCACCGGCTCACGGCTACTTCAGCATCTGCATTTCCACCTCTGCACTAAGAAGGTGCTCAGAATCCCTGTGTGGTTTTCCAGTGCTCTTCACATGGGCCACTTGTCTTGAGCAGTGGGAAGCTCGTTGTAACCTCGCCTGATGCCAGCCCTGGTTCTCTGCTGGGTGCCGGTGGCAGAGGGCAGGAGGCTTCGAGTCCCGGCTTTCCACAGCCTGGTCTCACTGATGTGAAGGATTCTCTCAGGAATCAAGGTCATGTTCTTCCTGAGAGCCTGCAGGATGGATTCACTTCAGGCTGGCCAGTGCATTCCCTGCCTTCACAGGAGTGCTTACAGCCTGCACACTGTTCTGGTTTCCCTGTCACCACCTCCTCCATCTTCCTGGAATGTTCTGATTTGAACCTGTGTCCTGGTGACACAGAGGTTTAGCAGGTTGTGATTCCACAGGAGAATAAACACTGGGATGTGGGGTCACAGAGACACCTGTGAACTAAGCCCTTAATCTCCTTATGTGTTGGTTTGCACTCACTAAACCTGCTTTGCATGAAGATGGGGTTCAGCTTTTTATGTACTTTGCAACTGCCCCCAGTAAATGTTAGTTGGGGTCAGTGGATAATCCAGTCGGGATCGGGTTTGGATTCCTTTGGTTCAGGGCTCCTGTCTCAGCTGTGCTGAGCATGGCAGGGCAAGAGACTGCAGTTGAGCTGGTTTGAGGCAGCTGCACCCCCCAAGTGTGCTGGGACAGTCACACCCAGAGCACTGCTTGATTCCAAACCTGTTTGAAAGCCCTTTTCTGCCTCTGTTAAGAGGAGGAATAATGGTTGTGGCTGATGCTGTTTCTGAAGTCTTGGGGTGTTGTGTCTGGTTTTCTTCCCCTCATCTGTTCCCTGGGCTGTGCCATCCCTCCAGACTCCTTCTGCCTTTTAGTGGATCAGGATCCCTGGACTTGACCCAGACTTTGGCTCATGAAGATGGCTCCTGACCCTCCTACCTTGGCATTTTCCTCCTGGTCTAACTTCTTAGGTTGTTGCAGTGGTGGTTGCAGTTCCCTCGTGGCAATGAAGCTGCTGGTTTTAGGAAAGAGGCCTGGCTGGCTGGAGTGGGGAGAGCGGGACTGAGTGAGGGCTGTTTGTCACAGGCTGCTCGGTCTGTCTCCACAAGGTCACAGGGTCCCTCTCTCAGAGGGGGGATGAGGTTCCTCTCTGTCCTCTGGCAACTGCAGTTTTGGGTGCAAGAGAAGCAGGCTCAGTGTCAGGACCCTCCACAGCCAACCCCTCGGATCATACCCTGCTGCCGTGACAAGCCTGCTGTGTTTTCCCTTGCAGCAGTACCAGAACCAGTTATTTCAACAATCAGAAGATGTGGATGGGAAGACAGAAATCATCATCAAGGTGAGCTGGGGATGTCTCGTGTCCTCTGTTCGTTGTCTTGTTCCGTCAGGCCCCTTCTGGTGGCCTGAATCCCGGCTGTGCACCGGGAGCACCCGCACAGTTCAGTCACAGCAATAACTGCAGGTACATTGGTGAGCTGTGAGAGCTGCTGTGAGGAGCTCGGTGCTGATCAGGGCGCGGGTTGGGGGTTGGTTGTGCTCAGGAGAGAGAAGGAGCTGGTGGAACTAAAGACGCCGGCGCTGCTTTGACAGCCTGTCACAGGCTCCCACCCCAGCTCCAACGTGCTAATGATGTGTCAGGATTTAATGAGCTGGAAGCAGAGTCCCCTCTGAAGTGCTATTTCTTGTGGTAGTTCAATGGTGTTTCCACCTAAACACCCAGGTTATGTTAATTGCTGTCACTGATACAGATGAAAGCGAGAGACACAAACACATCCTTTAAAAACCAGGTGGGAATTTTTATCCATGTATCTTGTCTCGCCTCACTTCAAGTCCCTGCTCCTGTTACAGCTTTCTTAGTTTTACTCCTCCGTCTCCTGTTTCCCTGTTGGGACACAGTTTATGTGGCAGTGCTGCTGACGTGCAGACACGCACAGGAGCAGATCCCTTTCTCCTCCCTAAAAATGATTAAACTGAAGGGCCCCATCCTTATTCTTGCTCCCGTTGTCCTGCCTCAGACCCTCTCTCAGGCATATGCAGGTTTATAAACCAAACCTTTAAAACCTTACATTTGAGCTGAACTCAGAGCTTTGGGTCCCCCCTGGTGTTGTCCTCTCTGACATGGTCACTTTGCTGTCTGCCCATAGCAATCCTGTGTCAACTGCGGCCGGGAGGCGACGAATGAGTGCACAGGATGCCACAAAGTCAACTACTGCTCCACCTTCTGCCAGCGGAAGGTGAGAGCCTGGGTGTGAGTTGCCAGTTTGGTTGTGGGAGGGTTTGAGGTGGTATCAGTGCCCGGTTCCTCAAGGTTCCCCCAGGTTTGTGAGCTGTGGTGTGCCACCGCTGGGCTGAGCAAGAGGAGGATGTTCTCTTGGTTCAGACTAGAAGCTGAAGTAAGTCTGAGGAGTTGTTCCATTCCTCTCCATTGCCATTGCTGAATTAAGACCCCTTGTGTGGTGCTGTCCCTCAGGGGCACTGGCTGGTCCAGAGCTGTCCTTCAGGAGAGGGTTTAAGTCCAGTTCTGACTCTGTTCTAGTAAATTCTCCGTGTGGTAACTGACACGGATGCCCTGGATGGTGTCCGGGTTCAGAAGCCAACATTACACCTTTAATACTGACCCAGAGCATGGTCCCTTTCCTGCCCATTGTTAGTCCTGTCGGGCTGAGCACTGGAGCCCTGCGGTGCCGGAGAAGGTGCTTCTCAGATGAGGCTTTGAGGGAGCCCAGTGTAGTTTCACCCTTCCCAAGGGCCTATTCTCCTCAGGCCTTCCCATCTCTCCCCGTGCAGGACTGGAAGGACCATCAGCACGTCTGCGGGCAGGCGGCCGCGGTGCAGGCCGAGGACGTGCACGTCACAGACAGCGTGATGGAGAAAGTCAGTGTCTGAGCAAAGCTACCTCAGCGTGGCCGCTGGATCGGCCGCCCACTGACCGGTGTCCTCCACCACCCACTGACCGGTGTCCTCCAGCACCCACTGACCGGTGTCCTCCACCACCCGCACCCTGGGCCATGCAGCTCCTGGTTTTGAAAGACTTTTTGACACTAGGACATCATTTGCCTCCTCCTGAGCCTCCTCCAGGACTTGAGTAAAACAGAGACTGTGAAATCCTCTGGTGTTGGGAGCTTTGGCTTCACCGAGGGGAACCTCCACTGCAGGGACAGCAGCAACCTCCTCATCACCCACCTCTGGTGAGCTGGGCCTGCAGCAGGGGCTGCGGTGGGACCCGCCACTGTCCCATTCTCCTCGCGCCTCCTACCTCTGGTCTGAACAAAGAAAAGAGCCTTCATTTGGTTTATTTAATTGCCTTGAGAAGCTTGGTACAAGTTCTCAGCATGTAGCAGAAGGACTGACTTTTGGTTGGGTGTTTTCCTGTGTTCCCTCTGTGCTGGCCAAACGTGGAACACGTTGGAGCGTCCGCACTTGAATCCAAGTGCAAAAGAACATGTTGTTAAATAAAATGAGGTGAAAGCAGCTCCATGCCTGGTGGGTCTGTGTCAGTTCCCAAGGGTGAAGGCAGAGAGTGGCAGCAGCGGGGATGGGCGAGTGTCTCTGCTCAGGTGGGGACACACGTCCTCATCAGAGCAAACCCCCTGTGCGTTAACAGAGGGTTGTCCTGCCCTGGCCCTGTCAGGGCTAATCACAGCCATGGTGAGCACTGACAAAATCAGTTCGTTGAGAATGTGCTTCCTTAGTAATTGAGGCTAATCAGGTGCTGTCACTCGTGGCTGAAGATGATGCCCAGACTTGAGGGGCCCCACATGCTGCTGGAGGGGGGTGGGGGGTGGGTTTCAGGCTCACAGCTCTCGGGGGTCACTTCTGTTGGTTATTTGCTCCCATTTGGTACCGGTGGGTGAGGAGGATGGGGTTCAGCTCACAGTGCAGGAGGGGTCCCCCTGAATCAGAGTGATCCAATCCAGCATCACAAACCATATCCGGAGTCACAGGAAAGGTAATAACAGAGAAGGATCCGATGGGAAAACACCAGAGTCTTACGGCAGTGGCTTCTGATGAGTCTGTTCCTTCCTGTGTGACTCTCAGAGGTGTCATTTACATGGTGCTCCCCGTGTTCCAGGGGAGGGAGGCTGGTTTGTTGCTCCCTGTGTTCCAGGGGATGGAGGCTGGTTTGTTGTCCTGTGCAGGGACTCATCTGTGACTCTCCAGGCCAGAGCAGCCACCAGGATCAAAGCTCTCCCAGCTCCAGGCATCACAGTGGGACAGGGATGGGTCGCTTCCCCTAGTGCTGGCTCAGAGAAGCCCAGCCCAGCCCAAACACCTCAACCAAAGCCAGGCCCAGCTCTGTCATCCATTTTGTGCTTACACCAAGCACCAAGTGTTAAACAAGTGTCAGAGCTGTATCTGGGGGTACTCACCTGTAACTCCTTGTTGTAACCAGCTGGTAACACACAGCCTTCAGCTGTCCTCCCTCCCCCAGCAAAGACAGCAGCCCTTAGGCAGAAATAGAGCTTTAATGAACTATACAAAAGCCCACCCGGCCCGGCCCTGTCCCGGGGCTCAGCAGAAGAGGTGCAAGACCTTGCGGAAGAAGTTCCTGAACTCGGCGTTGAACACGGTGTAGATGATGGGGTTGACGGCGCTGTTGACGTAACCCAACCAGGTGACGGTGCTGGTGACTTGAGTGGGAACAGCACAGGACTTGCAGAGAGCCTTGGTGATGTGGACCACAAAGAAAGGAGTCCAGCAGAAGAGGAAAGCACCTGCAGAAGGACAGTGAATGTTAGAAAGGGGTTCATTTAACAAAAAAAGGTTAACAAAAAAAGAGCTTAATTTAACAAAAAAGGGGTTAATTTAACACAAAGCCTGGGCTAAACAGGAAGGGAGAGAGCTCAGAGGGCCCGGGGCAGAAGCAGCAGCTGGGCTGATGTATAGAGCTGGGCTTACACCCAGACAAGGATGTATTTATCATCCTAAACATCGGTGCAAAGTCTGAGTTACGGATGAGTTTGGATTTGCATTTAAGGTGTCAGGAGTCACAGGTTTACCTTGAGTAAGAGGTTGGGTTACAAATGCTGTAGGTGCTCCGGCTCCGTCCCAGGGAGGTGTTTGGTGGCACTACCCTGCTCAAAGGGATACTGAGGTTTTCCCTGGATAATCATTCCCTGATGATGAGTGATGGGTGCAGCAGGTCTTAAGCCACAACCAGGCACAGGGGCAAGGGGAAGGTGGGCGTTAAAACGAGTGTATGTGAGGGAGAAGGAGGAGAACCTGGACACTGAGAAGCTGGAACAAGAGGGAGGCGGCTCTTGTCTCACCCTCACTCCCTCCAGCAAGGACAAAGCTCAGCACTACACCCGGGCCATGCAGCTCCTGGTAGGGGAGGCCAAGGTGTATGTTGGCTTCACCAGGTTCAAACAAGCCCAGCACGGTGCGTCCCCAGCCCTTCCCCAGCCACCCCCAACTACTCCTCACCAACAACAACAGGCAGCACCCGCATGGCCTTCCGCTCCCGGCCGTTGATCTTGGCCTGCTTCCGCCTGTGTCCTGAGTGTGGGTACTTGAGGTGGGGGTAGGAGACAGTCTGGATCCCATTGCTCATCCCACAGTCCCCGGGGTGGCTGGGGAGGGCGTAGGGGTTGCACTCGTCTGGCTCCAGCCTGGTCTGCTCGCTCGCAATGAAAGTTCCGGGGTGATAGAGCTTCCTGTTGGCCCCATAGATCCCACCCCTGAGCTTGGCCTTCCGAGCTTCTTCCCAGCGCTTGAGTCCTTGGAACATGGCGCAGTAGAGCACCAGCATGACGGGGCACGGGATGAAGAAGGAGCAAATGGAGGAGTACACAATGTAGTTGTCATCCTCCAGCTGACACAAGCTGGGGTCCCGGTTTGGGACGTTGTTGAGGCCAAATATGACGGGGGATGCGACGGCAAAGGCGAATATCCAGGTGGTGGATATGAGGATCAACTGCCGCAGGTCGATCTGTCGCCGGTTGTAGTTCAGGGGGATTGAAACAGCGATAAACCTGCCAACACAGGCCCCGGTGAGTCAGTCCCAGTCTGGTGGTGGTGCCACTGGTAACACGAGTCCCAAAGCCTCTTGCCATGGCCCTTCCCCCTGGTTAAGTCACTTACAGAGCCAAGGCCTGGGCTATCACCAGTCACCCCGTCAGAAGAGCACCCAAAGGGGCAGCTCTGCCCTTATCATGTTACTGTGCAAGGGTATGGATGGACACAGAGCTGGTGAAGGGGGAGGATGGAAGGGCAGAGCATGGGGCCTGTAAGGAAGCAGCTTGGTGCCAGGACACAGCTTTCCTTCCCCTGGCATGAGGAGGAGGAGGAGGAAGGCACTTACCGATCCACACTGATAGCACAGAGATTGAAGATGGAGGCTGTGCACAGCATCACGTCCATGGTCATCAGAGCGTCGCACAGCACCGTGCTGAGGGACCACACACCTCCCTGGAACTGAAAAGATCCCCGGGGTCAGCAGGTGCCATGTCCCACTGTGTGAAAACGCCCCAGAACAGCTCCGTGCCTGGGCACCTCCACCACTCTCGTCTCCCTCCAGGCCAGCAGCCAGCTCTGGAGCAGTCCTGCCCCAGGCATGATCCGCTCTGCCCAGCAAAGCAGCAGCACATGGAATAGCCCCACACAGGAGCTCACAGCTTGCTTGGGACATCGTGGTCCCAGCCTGGCTGGAGAATTGAGCCCACAGCCCACCAGCACTGCCATGCGAGGGGTGCTGGGCACACCAAAGGGTGCAGAGGCCCATTAATGGTCACCCAAACTCCTCAACTCCACGCCACAATCGCCCCAGTAATTGCTCAGCATTCCCTAC